TATATGTGGAATATAAGGAACAAACAAATAAAACAAACTAATCAAAAACAGACTCACAAATATAGGGGACAATTTGGTGACAGAGGGGAGGGAGGTTGGGGGGCCATGAGAAAGGGGTGAAGGGTTAAAGAAGTAGAAATTAGTAGTTGATAGTTGTTCACAGGGATGGGGAGCACAGCAGAGGGAATGTGCAGTTAGCATTAATATGATGGCTAGGTGGAGGGCCAGGGGATTGAGGGAGCAATTGGGGGGATCATTTTATGAACTATATAGATGTCTAACCAATGTACTGTATACCTGAAACTAATTTAAATAAATACATTTTAAAAAATATTTCTTTAATAATAAATTAAGCTTAGCTTACTGTAACATTTTTATTTTATAAACTTTAATTTTTTGAAACTATTCTACTTTATAATAACAGCTTAAAACACAGACATTGTACAGCTGTATAAAAATATTTTCTTTATATCCTTATTCTATAGGCACTTTTCTATTTTTAATTTTTTTTTTTTAACTTTTTAAACTTTTTTGTTGTTAAAAAGTAAGACACAAACACACATTAGCCTAGGCCTACCCAGGTATTTTTCAGCTCCATATCTTGATCTAGTGTAAGGTCTCTAGGAGAAATAGCACTCATGGAGCTGTCATCTACTATGATAACAATGGCTTCTTGAACACCTCCTAAAGGACCAGCCTGAGGCTCTTTTTGAGAAGGTGTCACTCTTTTCAGAAATACATCCACAGTGGTATGCTTGGTTTGTTTATTTTTTTTAATCATAGATTTGCTTGTAAGCAGATAGTGTACCATGAACATTCCTCTTTTAATAATGGCTATGAAGTTACTAGGCGATAGGAATTTTTCAGCTCCATTATAACCTTATGGGACTACCATCATATATGTGGTCTTTTGTTGACCTAAACATTCTTATGTGGCACAGGACTATTTTATTTGTGTGCATTTTTGAATAGGTGGTGCTCTCTTAGATTTAGAGTCTGATAAACAAATTCTTCATGATACCCACTCTCCTGAGTGTTTTCTTTTCAATGGAGGCTTTTGGAATGCAAGGATTTGTCAGTCTCCGAATGTCGTATCGAATTCTCTCTCTGCTCCACTCTGCTCTGAATCCCATGGCATAAATGGTTCTATTAGTGTGGAACATCAGAGAAGCTGACCAAGAAAGTAAAGAGCTTGAGAATCAGGACAAGAGGAGATTTTGCAAGCTTGGGACACATGTCGTCAGTTACTTAAAGGGCTGTGATATGAAAGAGGGATTATGTTTGTTCTTGTGGGCAGATGTGGATATATCACTAAGATAATCAGGTTTAAGCCTTAGGGCTCCTTTCTTGCATGGGCTCCTTCTAAGAGCCAGTACTCAATTTTGAATCCTTAAATTTGTGTTATTTCATTTAAAGAGCCATCCCCTCAACTGTATGATTTTCAGAACCCACAAAACCTGGATCTACTCTTTTCTGTATGGCTCCAGAGATCAAACCAGGACCTACAATAGATAAGAAATCTCAGATGAGGATGTTAGTTCAATTAAGGAAAATATTCCTATGGGCCAGGACTATTCCATCAATAAGTAGGTTATTGCGGTTAGCACTCTATGTGGCCTACCCAGAGTCTTTTTTTCTAGCAACACCCTCTCTTTCCTACTAATAGAACTTGGATTTGTTCAAGAAATTAATGGCGAGCCCTTGACCTCAGAGAAAGCAGGTTTTTCCATCAGTAAATAATGATTGGTTTAAACCAGTGATGGCATTTTCTTTCCCAATGGCCAATAATTAGTCGAAGTATGGGCAGGTAATCTAGTTCTGCCCAATGAGACAGGGGTTGATAGGACTTCCTTCCCTGAACTAAAAGCCAGGGCTTCAGGAAGAGAAAGTCTTCTTTCTTTTTCCTTTCATTTCTGAAACTCAGATAGGAGAGCTGGAGATATTGTCCTCCTGAGGCAAGTAGGCTAGAAGCATAAAAACCAAATTCAACATGCCAAGGATGTCAGAACAGAGAGAGTAAAAGAATTTAGGATTCTTATAACATTGTTGAGGAGCTGAACCAATACTAGGTAGCTACCTATCTCTAGATTATTCATGTGACGAAAAAAACCTTCTTATTTGTTTAAGTATTGTTAATTATTTCTCTATTACTTGCAGCCAAATGCGTTTTTATTTAATTCAGCTGTGCTCAAGGAGCGAGCCTTTTATGTCTCTGGTGGCAATCAATTACCAGGCTAATTTACCACAAAACAAGGATGTTGCAGAGGGTATTTAGGTCTGGGAGAGAGAATTTGGGGAGGTGATCAATTGTTATTAGTAATAATCTTACCTGATTAGAGCATGGACACCTTCCCATGACTTGAGTCCTTAGGTTTCATCCCCTCCCCAAGTCTTCATATTTCCTTCAGCCTACAACAATCTTTCTCTCAACCTATTTTCTCACCTCATGACAGAAAATGTGTCCGTTATTAATCAGTAAGCAGATAAATTACAATATAGCTTTCAAATGTTTAAACACTGGGTAAAACCTGGAGGGAGACAGCCCGGATAGACTTGAGGGATGACACTCAAGACTGTACAGTTTTCAAACTAGGGTAATCGGATCATCGGGGAGACATGAAGGCTTTCCAAGGGATACATGGCCCAGATAGTATTTTTTAAAAACTTTTTATTGTGGAAAAAAAATTAAAACCCATACATAAAATAGAATAGTTTAATGTACCTATCTACCTAGCTTGAATCCATGGCCTTTTCTTTGTTTATCTATACTTCCACTGCTTTCCCCTTCCCAAATCATCATCATCATTGCTTTTTTAACAAGATAAAGATGCAAAGATGACCCCCAATAATTCCTCCCATCCCTATACATTCATGTCATTTTTCCTATGAGAGGTGATCGAATGATCTACAATTAGATTGTAGTGATCGTCACACAACTTTGTGAATACACTAAAGCCACTGAAGTGTACACTTTAAATGGGTGAATTGTATCATATGTGACATATCTCTGTAAAGCTATTTTTAAAAAGTAGAAAAAGAAAATTTCTCCAATACTGTTAAAAGAAAAAAAGAGATAGAATTTTGTTTCCTTCCCTTTTAAAATGGATTTAGCCATGTGACTTGCTTTGACCAGTAACAGGCAACAAAAGTGACACTGTGTGACTCTGGGCATTTCCTTTATGGGCCTTGGAGCTTTGGTTTTCACTTTCATTGGCTTGAGCCACCCCAACTACCCTGCTATAGAGGCTCGGGCAGAACTCAGCTGTTCATTTCAGCCACTTCAACTGAGATTATCACATAGATGAGCGAAGCCATTTTGGCAACTCCAGCTTTCCTTAGCTGCCCCAGCCCAAGCACATGGAGTAGAGACCAGCTATCCCTGCCAAACTGGACTACTAAGTTTTGGAGTAGTGGAGAAATGGTGGTGCCAAATCTGTAGAATATTTGTCTCTTCTCCTTTCAGCCAGCAGGGCCCTCCATCTAGCCCTCCAGTGCTCTCCACAGCCCTGAGATCTCTGATCAGGGGCAACAATGCCCTATGCCACATACTCTTCTCTCTGACTTGCCATCTCCAGGACTCTTCCCTTTGCTCCCTCACCTCTAGACTCACTGGCTTTCCTTGACCAGGCCAAGCACATCACAGGGTGCTGCTGTTCCCTGTTCTTCCCCCAGATGTCTCTCCTATTTTGGGTCTTCATTCAAATTCCACCTTCTGATTAAGACCTTCCTCCTTACCTAGCCAGTCTATCCAAAATTACCACTATCTTATTCCCTGTCCCTATTCCCTGCTTTAATTTTTCTCTTTACTATTTTGCAATGTGTAACACAGTATTGAATTTAACTAATTTCCTATTTATTTTCTGCCTCACCTGCTAACACTTAAGCTGCATGAGGAATTTTTGTTTGTCTTTATCGATTGTATCTCCAGTGTCTAGAACACAGCCTGGCCCATAGTAGGCACCTCCATAAATTAACTGTAGGAAGAATGGAAGAAATGTCCCCTTATCACAGAGTATCTCCCTGGCCATACTGTTATACAGAAATCTCCTATTTCCCATTCCCTGTTTTATTTTTCTTCGTGGTATTTATTACCGTGTCCAAAGTATTTGTGTACAGCCTTTCTTCTTACTAGAATGATGATTTCTTTAACAGCATGGCTGTAAATATTTGCTGAATAAATTGATTTCTTGAACTAATGGATGAACGGATCCAGAAGCATCTGATGCTGGGACGCTGGGCTTCGACAGCGGTAAGCCGTCTTTGTGATATGACTAATTGTGAGGCTAGGTGCGGGCCTGCACCCACTCTGAGGGTGAACGTCTGATTGTCAGGGATACGTTTCGGCAGCGCCCTTTTAAACCAGCCACGACCCTGCGGCTGCTAGCCTTGGTTCTAGGTTGGCAGGGCCAGACATCGCCCCTTTAAGCTCGCCCAGCCGGGCGATTTCCGGGGCGGTGTCATTGCCCATTTAAGAGCGGTGCGCCCCGCCCCGGGGGCGGAGCTTAGAGGGGGCTTTAAGGGGCGGGCCGGCGGGGAGCTTGGGTCCTCCGGGGGATTATCGTCGGGTGGGTTCGCGCCTCTGGCCGCCATTTCTTGGTTCTCGGAGAAGCCGCCCCCTCCTCAGCCTCGCTCTGGATCTCTCCCCTCTGATCGCCGCTGCGCTGTCGTCCTGGCCCAGGTAAGCGCGAGGCCCAGCGGCCCCGGCTGCCCTGCCAGCGCCCGGCTTGCTGCACGCCCCGCTCACCTCACAGCTCCAGTGACCCTTCCACGCCCGCACTGGGAGTCTGCGCTCACGGTCCGTGCTGCAGCCTCGCCCCAGGATCCTCCGGCTGCCCGGAGCTTCCCGGACTGGCCGGCAAAATATTAAACCCGCGACAGGGGAGGGGCGGCGGCGGCCAATGGGGTAGGGCCGCCGAGTTTCAGGCGATACTGCGCGGCGGGAGCGGAGCGCCGGGGGCGAAGCTGGTCAGTGTGTGCGGGGGCCCGCCCTCCTGGCCGGCGGGGGCCTTGCTCCGGAGTAGCTAGGGGGCCTCCGGCCTGGTGAGAGGGCGGTGGGCGCCCTTCACCTGCGAGTGAGTGGCTTGGCCGTCCAGCTGGTGGAGTGAATGTGGCAGGTCAAGGAAAAAAAACACACCTTGAATTTCTGTCACAGTCTTATAACAAAAACCCGAGTGCACTTTTGGAGCTCATTTGCGTTTGACTAATACTGGAGCCGCTTTGAAGTTTTGATAGACATATGTGTTCCCAGGAATGACGAGGTCTAAAGGACCCTCCCCGCCTCCACCTGTGGCATGGGGCATGTTAATGATGGGTTCTTTGGCGTGTAAACATGAATTGTTTTGCCACTCTCTTTATGGTTACCAAGTCTCCTGAATTTTATTTGAGAGCAAAAGACCCAAGTATTTTAAACTGTTTGACATTTTGAATTAATATCAAAAGAAACTTTTTTAAGAATAAGGATAAAAATTTACGATAACTTCATTTCTAACATAACACATTGCTGAACCCTGCCTAGCATAGTGGCTTATTAGTGCATATAAACTAGTTTGGAGGATTTTCTTTCTTTTATATGGGCAAACCTTATTAGAAAACGATATGTACAGCATAATTTCTGTTGAATTCTCTTAAAATCTCATAGAAAATATTTTGGGACTACTGGGCAAAAGATATCTTCATGGCACTTGCTGTATATTGGTATATTGCTTTATTAAAAAGTAGTTGGTTACCAAAAATTATGACCTCCAGTCATGTATGAGAGTATACATATTTCATGACGTTTTAGTTTTAGATATATCTAAACAAAAACTTAAGTAGTAAATGCAATTTGTATTTTTCTGATTTTAAAGGAAACTCTTCTTGTTCATTGCCAAAAAATGAGATGCAATAGATTAAAAACTAGTAATTTTTAAAAACTTACCCCAAAATTTCACTATCATTTTAGTGTCAGACAAGTTCTTTATTAAGTGCCTAATATGCAGGTGGTTGTGCTAGCTAGGTCATAGTGGTGAATGAGTCAGACTAGGTCTCCCTGTCTTTGTGTCCTACTGGGAAAATTCCCAGTAAAAAATGTAAACAATTTGATATTTAATTATAGTTTAAGTGTTATAAAGAAAAGGCTAAGAGTACTAAAAGGAGCCCCTAATTCGGACTGAGGAGTTGGGAATGCTTTTCTGAGGAAAAGACATTTCAACCAGAAATTTGAAGTTAGTCATGGGAAGTAGGAGAGGGTAGGGGAGTGCGGGAGAGGTGAAGTGGAAAAAGAACTTTCCAGAAAGGTTGAAGAGTTAAGGGGGAAAAAAAGGCTTGCAGTTAAAAAGACTTGGGCTATGCAGAAGGGATACTACAGCGGTGAGCAGCTGGGAGTGGGCTGCCAAGGTTCAGGCAGGTGGAGGAGCTAGATCAGGGAGCAAGGCCATTAAAAATTTTTAAACAGGGATCAGATTTGTGGTTGCTAAAAATCCACTGGTGTAGCATGAAGAATGTAAGTGGGAGTAGGGGGTGGGAAAAGTGAATATGGGGAAAAAATTTTTAACAGTAAATTTTAAAAACTTTACTGACGTGTTCATATATTCCCAGTATAGAAGATATAAGTACCTCCACGTGACCCTCTACAGAGATAACCTCACTTAATAGTTTGCATGTCCTTCTAGTTCATTTGTATAAGATATAAGTATGTATTTGTATCCCAACTCAGTGTGGGATAAAACTATTTTTTTCTCTTGATTTCAGTTTTCACTTATAAATTTTGTGTCTAAGTCAACTGTATTTTAAAAACAGCTGTGTTGCATGTCATTATATGTATGATAATTTAACAACTTTGTGTGTTGATGAACATTTAAAATTTTCTAAAGTTAATTATGTCCTGAAAAATCCTTGTTCTTACAACTTGAAGCATATGTAGGACTATTTCTTTAGATACAGATATAGATATAGATAGAATTGCTGAGTAGAATTGAAAGGGTATGCATATTAAAATTTTATTTGTGTGGTCAAATACTCCTCCAAAGGGGACCGTGTATTGTTTTTCCTATATCCTTTTCAACAGCAGCTATCTTTAGTCTTTTACATGACAGACAATATATTATTTTTATATTTGGATTTCCTTGGGTACTGTTGAGGTTGAACATCTTCTAAATAAATATTTTCATTGCATATCATCTTTTAGAGCTTGTTTCTTCATATCTTGCCCCTTTATTTTTCTGTTGGGTTGTTAATCTTAATGATTTGTGATAGTTCTTTATTAAACTGCATGTTAATCTTTTCAAAAAAATCCTTTTGCCGAAGAATTTTAACAGCCCTTTGCTCTAATATACTATTTGTTTCCTTCTAGTCTTCATTTATTTTTAAATCTTTAGTCTGTCTGAAATTTATTTTCATGTAGGTTGCTTTCTTATTTTTGCAAAGAACTTGTAGAATTGGGTTTTTTAGTTCAAAATACATAGTTATTAAAATCTAAATCTGAAAGAAGCTGTGTTTTTCCTTAGCAGGTTAACTCCGTATAATGAGTTTTTATTTTCAAGATGTAGGATAAGGTGAAAGTCAGAAAACTTAATGAATTATGAAACAAGTTTTCTTCCTAAGAACCACAAAGTTGTAGATATTTTAAACATTTTTCCCTTAAAAAACCTTTTATTATGGAAAAATTCAACATATACAGAAATAGTCAGAAGAGTATAATAAACCCCCATGTACCTATCGTCCAGCTTCAACAGTTATTGGCCAGTTATCTGGCCAATTTCAATATGTATTTTTAAAAAGTAATGACTTTTCAAAACTTACCTTTAATACCACTATTTTATCTAGAATTAAAATGGCAGTAATTCCTTGGTTATTATAAACAGTCCAGTCAGTATTCAAATGTGTGTGTAATTTATGTCTTTGGGAAGCTCAGATGACAATTATCATGGATTTGCTAGTTTACATAATTATATAGGAGTCATAAACTTGTAAATGAGAGTATAATCCTCAATTTCTAGCTATTATTTTTTAAGATGTTGGTATTTCAGTTTTTATTTTTGTTTACAAGTGCACTTAGTTTAAAGCATCAACTGTTTATACAAGACTTGTTATATATAACAAATGTATGACTTAAAAATTTTTTCTTTTGAAATAATTTTAGACTTATGTAGAAGTAATAACAATAGTACAGAATTCCCATATACCTTTCACCTAGCTTCTCCCAGTGATAACATCTGACAACTTAAAAAACATTTATTTGTATTAGGATCTAGAGTAGGTTCATACATTGTGATCGATATGCATTTTAAGTTTTTTAAAACGTTTTACTTTGCATCTTTATTTTTCCCCTTGCTGTTTGTTGAATGAGCTGAATTAATGTCAAAGATAACAAATTCACCATATGTGTTTTGTTTGTATTTTCATTTAACTTTTTAGCTGTGATCTTTAATAATTTCTTATCTTTATTTTATCTTTATTTTTTTATTAAAAATTATTGGGGGTGACAGTCATTGATTAATAAAATCAAGTAAGTTTCAAGTGTACAATTTAACAGTTTGCCATATATATACACATCGCATTATGTGTTCACCACCCAAAGTTAGATTTCCTCCATCACCAATTATTTGACTCCTTTTCCCTCCGTCTATCTCCTCCCTCCCCCTTCCCTCTGGTAACCACTAATCCACTGTCCCTGTCCATGAGTCTTTGTTTGTTTGTCATGTTTGTTTGTCACTTTAAATTTTATATCTCAATATGAATGAAATCATGTGGTTCTCAACTTTTTCTGTATGACTTATTTCATTTAGCACAATTATCTCAAGATCTATCCGTGTTGTCGCAAATGGCAGTAATTCATCTTTTCTTATGGCTGAATAATAGTCCAGTGTATATGTAGTACATCATCTTTATTCAGTCTTCTATCATAGGACACTTTGATTGCTTCCATGTCCTTTCCACTGTGAATAATGCTGCTATGAAAATTGGGATGCATATATCTTTGTGGGTAAATACCCAGAAGAGGGATTGCTGGATCACATTCACTTCTTAGTTTTTTTAAGGAAAACCTCCATTTTTTCCATAGTATTTGTACTAGTTCGCATTCCCACCAGCAGTGTATGAGGGTTCCTTTTTCCTTACATCCTCTCCCAACACTTGTTATTATAACACTTATTCTGTTGATGATAGCCATTCTAACAGGTGTGAGATGGTATCTCATTTTAGTTTTGCATTTCTCTCATAGCTAGCGAAGTTGAGCATCCTCTCATATATCTGTTGGCCATTTGTATGTCTTCTTGGGAAAAGTGTCTGTTTAGGTCCTCTGCCCATTTTTTAATTGGATTGTTTTTTGTTGAGTTGTATGAGTTCTTCATATATTTTGGCTATTAGGCCTTTCTGCCTGACTTCAAATTATACTACAAAGTGACAACAATCAAAACATCATGGTATTTGGCAGAAAAACAGACACAGGCCAATGGAACAAAGTAAACCCCTGCATATATAGGCGAATGATTTTTGACAAAGGAGCCAAAATCATACAATGGAGAAAAGAAAGCCTCTTCCATAAATGGTGCTGGGAAAAGTGGAAAGCCACATGCAAAAGAATGAAACTAGATTGTTGTCTATCACCATACACCAAAATTAACTCAAAATGGATCCAGGACCTGAACAAAAGACCTGAAACAATAAATTTCATAGACAAAAACATAGGTACTGAACTTAAGGACCTTGGATTTAGAGAGGATTTTATGAATTTGGCCTCAAAGGCAAAGGAAGTAAAAGCAAAAATAAATGAATGAGACTAGATCAAATTTAAAAGCTTCAGAACAGCAAAAGAAACCATCAGTGAGGCAAAGAGGCAACCATCTGAATAGAATATATGTGCAAAGAACACCTCTGATAAGGGCCTAACAAATTCTTATCTTTAAAATGTGAGTTTTACAGAAATGGTTCTATGATATAGTAGAAAGGAGGACCAAGATGTAGAGTCAGAAAATCACTTTGAGCCCTTGTCTTCACCATTTACTAAATAATGGACTTGGCCATTATCTCTGACCATTGTCATGAAAATAAGATAATACTTTGGGGTGTGTTTCTGAAGATCAAGTACAATTATTTAGTTGTACTTGATGATGAAATGTGTTGGGTAGGAATTATTTCCTCAAAGACCTTACAATAAAGGAGACAGACGTGTAAATGAATAATTAAAATCTGATTAGTAAAAAAGTAAAATACTTTCAAGGTTCAGTGGAACTAACTTTATAGGGGGAGTTGAGTTAAAAGGAGGGATTCTCTGACATAAGGCTTTAGAAGTCTGGGATAACAAGTTTGACCTTCATAGGCAACTGAAATAAGACTGGATAGCAAGGTGAAGAGGGAGCAATGCCTGAAAATAAACCTGGAAAGAGAAAGACTGGATCTAGATGTTATGTATGAGTACTTTGTAAACTTAAAAAGCTATTAAAAATTTCAGTTATTTCCTTAGGATCTAAGCAAGTAAATATATAAATTACAAGTATCATGGCTTTGCCAGTTTACCTAATTATGTATGAATATCTATACTTGTAATACGTGTACAATAACCTTTAATTTATAGGTGCTTATTTTTTGCGATAGTATTTATTAAAAATTAGGTTTTATTTTTATCAAGTTTATAAATAAACTTGAAAGAGCCATCTAATGGGAAGGCTTCTTTTGAAAATCACTATCTTGAATTCTGCTCCCTCAAGGCAACCAGTCACATATTACATAACATGCTCTTATTGTTACTTCTTGATTTGAATTATCTGTTGAATTTCTGCTAGATGAGATGAGGAATTAGCTTTCTGTCCTCACCTACCTTTTATATAAACCTTCACTCAGTTAATTTATGGGTAGATCAATATTTAACGTTTATGGTATAATGACTAAGCAATTAGCTGAGTCATGTAGTGTACTGTGATTACGTTTCCTTTTCTATGCAACTTCTTGTTTTCTCTGGAATTAATTATTTGTTGGCTTAGTTATATGTACTTATTTTTCTCAAACTTCCTTTTGTAAATTCAAACAGGTTAGCAAGGTAGTTTTTATATTTCCATTTTATGTGTGCTATATTTTTAAAATTAATATCTTAATTATTTTGATTAACCTTAATTTTCTTAATAGAGATAAAGAAGTAACATTAATTTGATAGTATAAAGAATTGTTTATATTAAGTGGCAATTTAAAATCTATAGTAGAATATTTGATGAAAACTTTGAATTATTTGTATTTTAGTTGAAATAGGTGATTAATTTTGTATTTTTATTATGAACGCTCAGAAGAGAAACTTTTTAGGATCGTTATCATCACAGGATGCCTTAGTATATGGCATTGTCTCCTAACGTTTATAGGGATATATGGCTATTTTACGTATAATTTATTCATCTAAAAGATGTGATAAGCTTCATAAATGTTTACCTTCTCCTACCAGACCAGCTCCTTAGAAAATAGTCCAGTAAGTTTAGAAATGATGTAAGCCTATGTCTATTTTACATAATGTCTTTAAAAACTTTGAATCGAAGTAGCCAGTTTTCACTTTTTTTCAGATTTCCTTGACCAGGAGTCCTTTTAAGTAACATAACTACTAATGTCCACAGGACTTTACTAAATAACACCATTTGTCTGACTGCAAATTGTGGGGAGTCTTCTGATATCTTTTTCTCTCTGGCTTTATAGTGACAAAAATGCTGAGCTTCTTCCGTAGAACACTTGGGCGTCGGTCAATGCGTAAACATGCTGAGAAGGAACGACTCAGAGAAGCTCAACGAGCTGCCACACACATTCCTGCAGCTGGAGATTCTAAATCCATCATCACATGTCGGGTGTCCCTTCTGGATGGTACTGATGTTAGTGTGGACTTGCCGGTACGTAGGTCTTGCTGACCTGCAAATTCTGTATGAGATCACCTTCTTCATTTACACTTACTACTTGATAACTTCCTGGGAGAATTAAGTAATATGAGTTTGTATGGATCAGGCACTATAACATAAGTACATGATTCAGGTAGTGGTTAGGTACCTTGCATGATAATATTTCTCTGAAATTAGTGGGAGCTGCCTAAACATTCAAATAATATGACACTTGTTGCCGCGAGACATTTGTGTGTATTTATGTGTGTTCTTTATGATGGCAGTACATAGTACTCTGGTGGATTTCTCACAATACTTGATGAGCAATTGTTAAAGCAATGAGAAACTTTGGGAACCAGAATAATACCTATATGTATACTGTAAGACTTTTACTTCTCGATACTTTCCTGTAGTTTTCAAAACACTCTTCACTTTTCTCAAAACAAATCCTCCACAGTTTGATATGCTTGCAGAAATTTTAATGAAATGAAGAGAAGGACTTTCTTCATATCCCTCAAATCTGACTACTTCTGTGCTCCTGAAGTCATTTGCAGGGGAAGTTTTTAATACACTGTAATCTTTATTTCAAGACAGAATGTTGTAATTGTATTTAAATTTTGGATAGGTTTCTTTGCAGTTATGAATAATACTAACAGTGTAAAGCATTCCGTTATATTTGAAAGGGGTTAACTTATTTCTTACAGGCATTTTTTTTAAGGAGAGGGAGAGGTAGTCATATGGCTTTGTGAGAGTTTCTTTCTGAGCTATTGACTAATGCCAAATCTCTCTCGTGTCTTTGTTCTGCGTTAAAAGATTTACATAATTAAGCTGTAAAATGTGCAGTTTTGACGTAAGCGTCATTGGATGTTCTACAGTGTTTTCTCCACAAACTCTCTAGTACACACTCATTTACCCAAAATGCAGTTTTAAAAAAGTCCTTTTGTGCAAGGCGATAGCCTGGACGCCGCAATAACAAATAGCTGAATAAGCTCAGGAAGGCTTTAAGCTCACAGAATGAGAGATTAAGGAGTTGGGTAGTTCGTTTAAATGAGTATTCTGATTAATTGAATAATTTAGAATGTATTAGATATGTACCTTATGAATTTTTTAAATAATGGAATATAAAATTAAAGACAGGATTTCTAAAAATGTTTTAAAGCCATCGTTATGAGTATTTATTTTTACATTAGATGACATTTTTAGAGTTTTTGATTCTGGAAGACTTTAAGGCATTTAAATTTTTGTCCTGTAAGGGCTTCTTGAGGGCTCATCAGAAATTCTAATATGTAACACTTTGTGAGGATAGTATTCATATTCATTTTTTTTTATTTGATAAGTATCTTAAGAGTTTTGTGTACTATTCCATTAAAATATCATTATGTGGTGAAAAGCTTGAGATTGTTGAGTAGGAGACTGGAAAGAAGTTTCTTATTACCTAATGTTTGAAGTATGAAGTCTCAGGGTTGTTGATGGAAAGGCTTGTACTAGGAAAATAGACTTTGTAGGAGCTATTTTAAAAAGGCAGTATAGTGTGGAAGAGAAAGCACTAGGTTTTAAAGTAGTGGAACAAATGGCTACTGACTGGTATAGAATGGTTTCCTGTGCTTGGTATGCTCAGTAGGGTGTATGGGATGCTTAATCAAGGCCAGAAATGCAAGCTGGCCTCTCTTATGCAGACAGTTGCAGTGAAAAGTCAAGAGTTTTAAATTGAACTTTTTGTAGAACTAGAACAATTGCCTTTTCAGCTCCACAGGTGAAATCTTAGAGTTAGTAAACTAACTCTAGATGCTTGCATGGATCTAAAATAATCATTGGCCTGCCAACTAAACTGCCTTACTAAAGAAAAAAATAGACCAGATGAATATTCATTTCTGAGAAGAAAAGGTTTTCCCTTTTTCTCATTTAGCTTCTCGGCCAGTCTAGTATGATGCTGAAAGATGTAGAATTGATTTTGGAGAATGAAGGAAGCACATACTCATTTCCCATTAGGATTAGGGTCACTAGTTACTGTTGCAAGCCAGCATAGAACTAAGATGATTGCCCAGGCAATATGTAAAGGATTATTTGTGATTAAATCGAGTAATTTAAATCCTATAGACTCCAGATTAATATGTACAAGTAGCAATTGTCATTTTCTGCTCTTTCAATTTTATTAAAATTGGGGAAAGGGTTTAAATACCTTCTATTTCCTTTTCTTTTTTAAAAAGTACTAATACAGTGAGAATGCCTTTCAGTGAATGATAAAGACATCAGGTAGAAATTTGTGTGATTTCAAATTTTTTTCTTTGTAAATGTCACAGTAACTCCTTTGATTTATGATTTATTAGTGTTTATAATTAGCTTGTCTTGTCAAACTCTGTATTACCTATGTTTTAATAGGAAATATTTGATTAACTAATAGATAATTTTATATTTCTACTTTGCCGATATAGATACTGAAGTCTTTAAATTATATAGATTGTGTATAGTTATACCTTTAAATAAAAGAAAAAACATCTCATGTTTACAAATTGGAAGACTTAACATTGTTAAGATAGCAGTATACCTGAAACTGATCTACAGAGTCACCAGAATACAGGCTGACTTATTTGTAGAAATTGACAAGCTGATTATAAAATTCATATGGCATTGCAAGGGACCCAGAATAGCCAAAATAGTATTGATAAAGAACAAAGTATTAGAACTAATATTTCCCAATTTTAAGACTTACTGTAAAGCAATGGTAATCAAGATATTGCGCTACTGGCAGAAGGTTAGACACACACAGATCAGTGGAACAGAATAGAGAACCCAGAAATAAACCCATACGTTGATGATCATTTGGTATTTGACAAGAATTCCAGAACCATTCAGTGGGGGGAAAGAATAGTTTTTTTCAACAAGTGATGCTGGGAGAACCGGATAGCCACACGCAAAAGAATGAAGTTGGAACCTTACCTCACACCACATATAAAAATTAACTCAAAATGGACAAACACTAACATAAGAGCTAAGACTATAAAACTCTTAGAAGAAAATGTAGGGATAAATCTTTATGATCTTGGATTTGACACCAGTTTCTTAGCCATGTCACCAAAAACATGAACAACAAAAGGAAAAATAAATTAGGCTTTATCAAAATTAAAAACTTTTGTACCTCAAAGAACACCATCAAGAAAGTGAAAAGACTGTCTCACAAAATGGGAGAAAATATTTGCATAATTATATATCTGATAAGCACTTGTATCCAGAATATATAAAGAACTGTTCTAATACAATAATAAAAAGGTATATTACCCAGTTTAAAAATGGGTAAGAGATCTGAATGGAAATTTCTCCAAATAGGATATATAAACGACCATTAAGCACAGGAATAGATGCTTGACCTCATTAGTCAGGGAAATGCATAATAACTACAATGATATGCTACTTCACACCAACTAGATAAAGTAAAAAAGTCTGGTAATAGCAAGTGTTGGTGAGGATGTGGAGAAATTTGGACCCTCTTCTATTTTTCGGCAGGAGTGTAAAATGGTGCAGCTGCTTTGGAAAACAGGCAAATTCTCAAGTGTTTCAAGAAATTCTCTTTTGAAATGTCACATTTCTGTTAGATTGAGCATTAACATCAGGAATCTGCAAGTGCCTGGGTTCACTGTTGGTTGGCCTCAGTTAACCTCTACTAAGGAGTCACTACCTACTTGAGAAGTTTTTTCTGAGGAAACAGCTACCCAGTTGGCAGTCCATTCTTTATTTTCTCAGAATGCAGTTGTCATGTTTTAAGAGGCTGGCACATGATGCTTTGGCAGAATAATAAGGATGAGAGTAATTTTTTAAGTCATGCTTCCTTTTGGTCTTTGAAGCAAATAAAGAATGTTGATGGAATATGAAATTGATTCCAGATATGTACCTTAGAATTAAGGTAATGGAAGCATGTACATTTGGTACCAGAGAAGCGAATGCTGTAGATGATTTCTGTGACTTTCTGCTATAATTTAAAAATATTTTGTGTTCCATTTAAGGTCATTGGCATTTGCAAAGTTTTGCATAATTGCTGTTTGCTGTTGAAGTTTGTTAGTGCTTCGTGACTTAGTTATTATGAGTATGATTTAAAATCAGAAATTTTCTTCTGTTGTTTCCAGTAATAACAGTCTCTCTCCTTCCTTTGTCCATATTTCTCATAGAACAAATATGTTCAAATATTGAGTTAGTTCGTCTTATTTGCCCATGTGGGTTTAAGATTTCATTGCCTTTTGCTCATTTCTGTCACATTGTTGACCATATTTTCTCATGTTTGCTTTACTTTAGCCATTGAACTTGCTGTCTTTGGAATAAGCCAGCCAGCTGCTGGCTTCCTCCCCCAAGATTAATCTCTGAAGGAAAGATCATAAAATATAAGAAATAAAAATTAGAAAGCCTTAGGGAAGGAGTGTTGGTAATGGGGTATGTGTGTATATGCGCACGCACATGTGTACTCCCACTGGTGATTGTGGTGGTGACAGTGGTGGCAGCTGCAGGTTAGGGGAATTATGGAAGTATAACATGGGGAGGGGTGGCCATTTGAAGTCAGGCCTTGATCTTTACCCCCAGTTGTTGTCTTCATAATTAGTATCTGGCCCTGACTGAGTGGTATGAAAGCACAGACTCAGATGGTGTGTGCAGCTGTCCTCAAAAGTAAATAATTGTGTTGGCTAAAGTTCCCTACTTCTAAAATTCCTAACCCCTAAAATTCCCTTACCTATATTCCCTGCCCCTCTTTAGGGAATGATAAATTATAATGAAAGGAGAATATCTTTCCTAGTGTTACTTTACTTTTCCCTTGGGAATGGGAGTGAATCACTGACTTAAGCAGTTGTTTGTTGAATGGAAAGTGATTAACTGTGGTTTTTTGGTTCTTGGGATTCTCTTCCATAGGACTCCTCTGTACCCGCATTGATTTCTCAGAGCTAAATAGAGCTAATACAGAACTGGGTTGACTTCTTTTTCGTTACACATGATCTACAGAAAGTGACTTATTCCCAATGAATATGGCCAAAATAAGGAAACAAGCATTTCAAAAGTCAAGTAACAAAAGACATCAAACTATTACAGATAGCACTAGATGCAAAGGCAGATGGGGAAAAAAGTCTAATAAATTTTCTAAAAGGTAAGGGAAAATATTAGCAATACGAAACAAGAATAAAACTTACTTAAAAGGACCAAATGGAAAAATTAGGTATGAAAGTATAATAAATATTATCAATGGGACAAAATTAATGTGAATTATAATAAAGGACAAATTGGTAAATTGGAAGTCATTTATAGGAACTTTTCCTGTAGGTGGAAAGAAACTACAAAATAGGAAGCATAAAATAAAAGTTATGAAATGGAAGATAAGAGTAGAAGTTCCTTTTTCCCTAAGATAAAGAATAAAAGAAGGATGCCTGCTTTCACCACTTCTATTCAGCATAATCTTAGAAGTTCTAGCCAGAGCAGTTAGGCAGAAAAAGAAATAATAGGCATCTAAATTCTAAAGGAAGAGGTAAAATTATCTCTGTTCAAGATGACATGATCTTATAAGTAGAAAATCCTAAAGATTCCACATATACCTTTTTAGAGCTAATAAGTGAATCCAGCAAAATTGCAGGATAAAATAACCAAAAAAAGCAGTTATACTTCTATACACTGGCAATGAACAATTCGAAACTGAAATTAAGAAAATTTATTTACAATAGCATCAAGGAGAATAAAATGCTTAGGAATAAATTTAACCAAGGAGATAAAACACTTGTATAGGCTAGGCATACCTTGTTATATTGTGCCTCACAGGTATGGCATTTTTAATAAATGAAGGTAAGACCCTGCACCAGCAAAATGAGTATGACTCACTGAACGTTCACATGTTGGTTAGCATTTTTTAGATATAAAGTGTTTTTAAATTAAGATATGTACACTTTTTTAGACATAATGTTATTACATACTTAATAGATTATATTATAAACATTTATATGCACTGGGAAACCATAAAACTCATGTAACCTGCTTTATTGTGATATTTGCTTTATTGCGGTAGTCTGGAACCATATCTCTGAGGTATGCCTGTACACTGAAAACTACAAAACATTTCTGAGAGAAATGAAAGAATATTCCAATAAATGGAAAGATATCCTGTGTTCATGGATTGGAAGGCTCAATATTGTTAAGAGGGTAGTACTACCCAAAGTCATCTATAAATTCAATGTAATCCCTACCAAATTCTGAGGACTTTTTTGCAGACATAGGAAAGTCCATCCTAAAATTCATATAGAATCTCATGGGACTCCACAAATAGCCAGACAATCTTGAAAAAGAAGAAAAAAATTTGTACTCACACGTCTTTATTTCAAAACTTATTACAAAGCTATAGTTATCAAAACAGGTTCTGGCATACAGACGGACGTATAGACCAATGGAACAGTATAGGGAATTTAGAAATAAACCCTCAAATATATGATCAAATGGTTTTCCAGAAGAGTGCTAACACTATTCAGTGGTGGAAAGTAGGAAAGAGGTTATCGGGCTGAGGGGAGAGGTGTGAGGAGTGTTTGTTTAATGGGTATAGAGTTTCTGATTGGGATGATGATTGAAAAGTTCTGGAAATGGATAGTGGTCATGGTTGCACAACATTGTGAATATATGACTATTTAATGGCACTGAATTGTATTTTTTAAAATGGTTAAAATGGTAAATTTTATGTTAAAAAAAGAAATTGGGGCTGCTGCTTGTTAAGTGAGGGTCAGTGGAAGTTCTTATGTAGTTGGAGAACCTAGGCATTGAGTATAATTTTGTGAATAAGTTTGAAGAGGAGGTTGTGATAAGAAGTTGGAGTCTCTGATTATTGATCTGAGAGGTGATATTTCAGATGAAATCTGGGTATAACATGTAACCCTTAGGGAATTTGAACTTGACAGGCAGACAACAAAATTCAGACTCTAGCCATGTCATTTTTTTTAGTTGTGTAATTTTTTCATATTAACTAAAGCTTTCTGAATTTTTGTCTATGTTACATATTTGTAAAATGGACAAATAAACCATAATCATCAAGATTATTGATTAAATGACTATGTTTAAAAAAACTAGAAGTGCCAGCATCTGGTAGGAAACTTAAAATGATAAAAATAAAGGAGAAATATTTGAGGAAACAGTAGATTGAGTTCCCAGAATTAAAGAGAGATGAAAGATCTCATTAAAAAGGCCCAATAGAGTACCAAATAGAGTTAAGAAAAACCCCATACCTAGACACGTTATAATGAAATTTAAAATCATCAGAGATAGAGAAAAGTCTAAAGCTTTCAAGAGAATAAATATTATTAAGGAACAAGATTCAAATTGACATCACACTTTTCAACAGCAATATAGACTGTAAGATGATAGAGTAATATATTTTGAATATCGAAGAGATTATTGAGAGAAAACCATTTTGAACTTTGAATATTATATCCAGCCAACTCGTTCAGGTAGAAGAGCATGATGAAAATATTCTCAAACATGAAGACCATTGAGGATCAGCCATAGAAGTTCCCACATGGGGAACATTTCTTGAGGAAGAACTCAAATGAGTAGAAAAACTAATCTAGCACATGCTGCTAGATATGTGAAATATATGCATGTAAGATGTGTTAAGAATAATCAGATACCAAAGTAAAGATTATTGTCTTTAAAAACTTAGCCATGACCAAAGAAAGGAAATAGAGGAAGTATATCTGTAAAACATGATGAGGATTGGAGGGGAGATTTGGGGCATGAGGGTATGGTAAAGTTCTTGTCTTGATAAAGGGATAACGTGTTTATTTATCAAAAAGAAAGGATATAAAAAGTGCAGGAAAAGCAATGGACTAGTCGAAGTAATAGTTGTTAGTTAAAAGTCAGAGATGGATGATTCAATTAAAAAATCCAACTATTTGTTTATTTAGAGGAAATACTCTAAATCATAATTAAAATTATATAGGGAGAAGAATATGGATTGGATCTATATGAAAATATTTGAAAATTGAAGATCCCAATAGCTTTTGCTTATGAGGGTTATATCTATCAATAGTTATATTAGAAATTAAAACTGAAATATTTAAAAATATTTCTTGGTTAATTTAAAAATAGCAATAATATACCCCTTGTATGTTAAGTAATGTTTTAACGAAAGATAACTATTGTACTAAACAAAAGAATTCAGTGAGAATAGTATTGTTTTATGCACTTTTGCAAATCCTTTTAAGTATCTAATTTAATAAATCGTACATGAGTCTATTATCTGCTTCTGCATTCATACTTTTGTAGTATGTTGTTTGATTGAGGTTCATGAGAATCATAGGGCCTGTGGAGCTTTTGAAAAGATCTGGGGAATCTTTACGGGTCACATTTTGAGAACTGCTTTTTCCATACAAGTTTCTTTGCTATTATCCACTCCCTCCAATTTGATGTCTTCTGCATTGATCACAGTAGTCTTTGTCCTATATTCCTTCCCACTTTCCATTTTTTTTTTTTTGCTGTTTCCTACCTTATATTCTTATCCAGTTTTAGACTGACCATCTTCAAGTCTTCAGTGATAATTCTGGTCTCTTTTGTGACTATCTCTTCTCTAAAATCTATTGGCAAATGCAGTTCCACATGATTTGTACTTAAGTGTTTTATTAAGTTTTCTTGTGTTTTCTCTTATATTTCTGTTACATTATAAAGTTCTTTTTAAAGCAGGGACTCTAATTATTGACATGACAGAGCAAGAATTTCTCCTTACACACAGAGTTAGATACAAAGTAATAATTGCTAGTTGATAGGAAGTAACATTTTCTAGGATTACAAATTCTCTTTTGGCCTTACGTGGTTTTTTGGAAAACTGTAATATTTTACCCATTACATGCTATAATAATTTGGGTTGTACTTTTGGTATTACAAATAATGTATTTTTAAAAAGAGATCATGTATTACTAAAACCATCTTCAGCCAGGCTTGCTGATCTTATAATAAGCCGCTTATTGATTCATTTATTTTCTTAACCATTTCAGAAAAAAGCCAAAGGTCAGGAGCTGTTTGATCAGATTACATACCACTTGGATCTTATTGAAAGCGACTATTTTGGACTGAGATTTATGGATTCAGCACAAGTAGCAGTGAGTAGCTGTTTTTTGGAGGTTCTAATATGGGGACAGAAATGGAAAACTTCAGATGATATGCAAAGTGCTGCAAGACTACCTATTTTTTTTTCTTTTTTTTAACTTCACCTCTATTTATTTATTTTTATTAAGTTTATTGGGGGGTAACATTGGTTAATACAATTATAATTTTCAGGTGTACATTATCATTTGACATCTGTATATTCTATTGTGTGTTTACCACTCAAAGTTCAGTTTCCTTCAGCTACCATATATTTGATCCCCTTTTCCCACTTCCCACTGCCCCATATTTGACCCCCTTTACCCTGACTAACTCCCCGCTCCTTCCCCACCCCACTAGTAACCACTACTCTATAGTCCTCTGGTAACCACTAGTCTGTAGTCCATGAGTCTCTGTTTGTTTGTACTGCTCATTTGTTGCTTTTAGGTTTATACCTATTCTTAATGCGTTCCTTTTTTCCTGTGATTTTCTTACTATGATCTGAAGCTTTTACTCCTTGCTTCATTATAATCTGAAGTGCTTGTTTAATAAAACATGCGAGGTCTGTCCTCAAATTAGTAGAGCCTGGTCTTTGTGGATGAGGCTTGGAAATCTGTGTTAAGAACTACTGGGTTGGTTCTGAGGCATACTAGAGTTTGAGAAACACTGGGTAATGGAAAGAATGCTAGAGTCTTGTAAGTACGTGGTAGAATTTTCAGTACGTGATAGAATTTTCTAACTTGCAAATTAAGGTTAGTGGATTAGGTTATTCCTTAAGATCCTTTCCTGATCTCTGATTCTGTGTCTATAAATAGATGTTCTTTATGTGTACATTTCAGATGAGAAAACAGTATATGTAATAGGATAGAATGTTGGAGACTTTTCAAAGAACTGAGTATTGTGGTAGGATTTGATTGGTATTTCAAAGAAAGTATTAGATGAGATTGGAAGGTGAATTAGTGGTCATATCATCCAACTGAATACCAAAATTTGAATACAGTCATGTGCTGCATAATGATGCGATGGACCACACATACGACAGTGGTTCCGTAAGATTATAATGGAGCTGAAAAATTCCCATCACCTAGTGACATAGTAGCTTAACACTACACTATTTTTTTAAATAAACTTAGTGCGTAACCTAAGTATATGTACGGTGTTTATAAAGTCTGCAATACTGTACGGTAGTACCCTAGGTTTTCACATTCACTCACCACTCACTGACTCACCCAGGAGTTAAAGTCTTGCAGTCAGATGAAAAAAACAAATGATTTTAGGGGCAGACAGTTCATAGTTCTTTGGTTTTTTTGAGAGGTTATAGGGAAAAAGAGGTAGAAGTATGCCAATGTTAGGTTTCAGGTACTTTTCTTAAAATGTTTAAGTAGTTGTGGAAATAGATAAGCAACCCATTGCTTAGTCGTATTATTTTCTTTGCCATCGTCAGCAATTACTGAATTACTAGATCCCAAAATGATATTTTACCCCTCAAGATACACAGTGTGCCTTGTTTTAATCTCTACTCCTTTTAGTTCTGGTTTATCCCTTCCAATGCCCAGAAATCTAGGCATTAAGATTAAATTTTATTAAGCTTTTATTTATTTTCTATTTTTCCTTTCACTAAAATATTCTAAAATATGTGAGTTGAGCTGAAAGAACAATGGTTGATAGATGAAAGCTATTAAAATAAACTCTAGATAGCACTTGAAATATTCTTAAAGGGCTAACTCACTTGATTCCGTAACAGTCTTATGACATTAAGCAAACATAGAGAAGACTTACTTGTCTTAGAGAAGAGTTAGCTATTTGGTGTTTGGCCAGATTTAACCCCAGAATGAAACAAAATTAATACTTTACAAAACATTTCAATTTGTTGGTGAAGATAATGAACTTGATCAAGTGGATTTTTTGGTCAAAATCATCTCTGTAAGCTATATTAACCCAATGATTTCCATATCTCTTTGTCATATTTACTGTGTTGACAAAACTGTAGAATCTAAAGAGAGTGAGGGAGGAAAAAAATGACCAAGGAATTAACATGCTACAATTTAACTTTGGATCTATGTCATATCTATATATACACAAACACACGTACACACACACACCCACGTATGTATATGCATATATACATATATAAAATTAGCATGTTAAAGTTTAGTTTATTGGTCATTTTAGATCAGTCCAATGTATAACTAGAATTATACATCCATCATGGAGATAACCAAAATTAGTAAATTGATGAAGCCATAGTTTACTTTTTTTCCTGTCTATACATATAATCTGAGTTTGCTCTCATTAATATGTGTATAATCATATACTTGATTTTTTTTGCGTTGTTTTAAGCTGTTTTTGCTTATACCAGCCTATTTTATGTTCTCTTAAGATGTGAACATGTGAATGTGTGTTCATATTTCATTTTAGAGTTGAAACAATCTCATATTTACGGAAAAGTTGCAAGACATAGTTTTCTGGAACCAGCTGAGAGAGAGTTGGAGACATGATGTCCCATCAACCCTGCATTCTTCAGTGTATGTTTCCAGCAAACAAGCATATTCTCTTGCATAACTCGGTACAACTGTTAAAACCAGGAAGTTAACATTGCGACATTGCCAGCATCCATTCAAATTAGGCCAGTTGTCCCTAGAGTATCCTTTATAGCCATAGGGTCTTGTTCAGAATCACAGTTTACATTCATTTGTTGTGTGTCTTTAGTGGCCTTCAAACTGGAACATTGCAGTTCCCTAGGCTTTCCTTGACTTTCATGACTTTCACAGTTTTGAAGATACAGGCCAGTTATTTTGTAGGCTGTCTCTTAATTTGGGTTTGTCTGATGATTCCTCATGAAGTAGGTTAATCTTAGACACCTTTGGTAGGAAAATATCAGAAGTGACCTTGTGTTCTTATTCTGTCCTGTCAGGTGACGTTTAATTTTAGGTGATATTTAATTTTATTTTGTCCCATTACTGGTGATATTAACTATGATACCTTGATTAAGGCATTGTCTGCCAGGCCCTTTCCATTATAAAGTTATTCTTTTACTCTTTGTAATTAATACTTCTTTTGTGGGCAGTTTTCTCAAAGTGGGCAATTACTTGGAGATTGTTTCTCATCAGACTTTTTATTTATAGAGATATGAATTAATGGATTCCTATTTTATTCAGTGGGTGATAATCTGTGACTGTCATTTATTTTGATGCTCAGATTTTCTCAGGTTTGGCCAGTGGGAACCACTTCAAGATGGCTTATATATTCATTCAGCATGCACACATCATTTGAGTATTTCCTGACTTTAAGGCCCAAGAAAATGTTCATCTTATATTTTCTTGTTCCAGCCCTTTTCCATGTTTGTAGTTCTCTTCTACAGAAACCAGGCTTTGATTATTATCAGGATATTTATTTGACTGATTACTCACCCTGGAATGGAAGCTAGAGATGGAATTCATCTCTAGCCTCTCCCTGAACAGATGCTGGCCTTGTTCAGACCAGCTAATTACTTCTGGACTGAAATATTTGGGAAGAGCAGGGGCTTATGAAACTTCTGATATTCCATTTACCTTATAAATACAGACAGTTCTTTGCAGATGGTGTTGTAGAGTTACCTCCTTTAGAGGTATGGTTTTGGAGTAGGGGAATTATAAGAGAAAAGTGATGCTTGAGGAAAAGAATTGGTTTTAAGATGGCCATATAATTTGCCTAAACTAGGCCACTCACTAAAAATTGAGATATAGTATACATACCATAAAATTCACCAATGGTTTTTTGTATATTCAGAGTTGTGCAACCATCACCAATGTCTTAATTCCAGAACATTTTTATTACCCCCAAAGAAATCGTGTACATGTTACCAGTTACTCCCCAGTCCCCCCTTCCCACATCCCTTGGCAAATGCTTATCTGTTTGTATGAATTTTTCTATTTTGAAAATTTCATATAAATGGAACCATATACAATGTAGCCTTTAAGTTTGTAAACTCACTTAGCATAATGTTTTCAAGACTCATCCATATTGTCATATATATCAGTACTTGATCTGTATGGCTGAATAATATTCCATTGTATGGATTTACCACATTTTGTTTATCCATTCATTGGCGGACATTTGGGTTCATTGATTTTTGGCTATTATGAATAATGCTGCTGTGAATATTTGTGTACAAGTTTTTGCGTGAACATAATTTTCAGTTCTCTTGGGTATGTATCTAAGCGTGGAATTGCTGGATCATAAGATAACTCCGTTTAACTTTTTGAGGAACTGCCAAACTGTTTTCCACTAGGCTGTACCATTCTACATTCCTACCAGCAGTGTATGAGGGTCCTAATTTCTCCATATTCTCACCAACACTATATTTCCCCTTCTTTTGATTCCAGCCATGCTAGTTGGTATGAAATTGGTTTCATTGTGGACATGATTTGAATTTCCCTAATGACTAGTGATATTGAACATCTTTTCATGTGCTTATTGACTAGTGGTATATCTTTTTTGGAGAAATGCCTATTTGGATACTTAGCTCATTTTTTAAATTGGGTTATTTGCCTTTTTATTGTTGAGTTATAAGAGTTCTATATATTTTTTGGATACTAGATGCTTCTCAGATACATGATTTGCAAGTATTTTTTCCCATTCTATAGTTTGACTTTCTACTTTCTTCATAGTGTTTTTTGCACAAAGTTTTTAATTTTGATGAAATTCAGTTTATTTACTCTTTGGTCGTTTATGCTTTTAATCATATCTACAAACTGTTGCCTAGTCCATGGTCACAAAGATTTACACGTTTTCTTACCCATTGAGAGTTAGTTTTTGTATCTGCTATAAGGTAGAGGGTTTAATTTCATTCTTTTGCATGTGGCTATCCAGTGGTCCTAGCACCATTTGTTGAAGAGTTTATTCTTTTCCCATTGTTTGGTCTTGGCATGCTTATTGAAAATAAGTTGACCATATATATACATATATATGGGTTTATTCACAAAATAAAAATCATGTATATGATTATACATATATTAATGAGAGCAACTCAGATTAT